CACCCCCACACCTCCTCCCCCCTCTCTCCCCTGAACAAAAACATCTTCCTCAACTACGTATGAGAGATAATGGGATTAAAAAATTCATAGCTTTGTGAACAAACATTAAAACAGAGATGTTGAAATTCTGCCTTTAATAATGATACAAGGTGGAAAAGTATTTTTTGGAGAAATAGATCAACGGAAAATACAAAAGCTTATTAACAAATCTCGCAGAAAGACATCAGGAACATCATTCTCTAAAGTACTTGGCGTACACAAAGAAATGACTCGTATTATAGTACATATTTACCTGTAAATATAAACCGTAACAATCATAATCTTTTTACAAATCTAAAGTTTCAAAGGTCTGTGTAGAAAGAAACCGAGCAGGGTTGACAAGATGATGGGGATTATTGCAGATCAAGCCAGCCACAGGGGCTGGGTGGGCTCTTTGTTGTCAGTCACTGTCAGACACTATTGTCAAATGGATTCATTTATAACAAAAAGTGGAAAAATCAATAGAAATAATAGAAAAAATGAAGGAGATGACACTTTTTTCAAACTGTAGGAAATACAAAATGGTGTAACTTAAAAACAACGTATTATATAAAACAATGGAGGAGGGCTGATACAAGGCGAGGCAGGCAGTGTAGCCATGAGGGAACCAACCAGCTGTTGGCATACAGTAGTGGGGTCGTGGGTGGCTATCGAGAGTTCTGCACAGATAACAATAATATAACAATGCAGACACCAAGCTCGCTGTGGAGCTCCGAGTTAGAAGTTAAAAATAATGACAGGGTTTTCGGTATTGTTTTCTGTATTACGGTTCTAAGGACCAAACAATTATTGTTATCCACCCCCACCCCCCAACCTCCACTTATTTCTACCATCTCCACGTCCTCTTGTTACAGCTTTTCATCAAGGACCCCCCCACCCCCCAATCCCAAACCATTATCCCCTCAAGAGTTAACTATAACAGCATCACTCCCCACAGGCCTATCAATGTGTCGCTTTCCACCGAAAAAAAATCAAATAATCTTTTAACCTCCTAGCACCGTTTCACCTTTCGGCCAGAAGTGAAGCTTTTGTTGTTGTTGTAAAACAGCGCTAATAATCAGTTGCAAGATAAAACGAGTAGCCATTTCCAACAATCTCTCCCTCCCCCCCCCTCACCGCCCCAACCAAGTTCATAATATCATCTCCTACATTACTGTTATCACTAGCTATCCGTTACTGTCTTCCACTCCCTTTTCCACGGGAAGATTAGCCAAAGATGAAAATTCTATGCAAAGTGAGTCCGAAAACCAAACACATCTGCTTTGAGCTAAAGTGATTAGATAGAGTCAAACAGCAATCAGAATAATAATAACAACAACCAACAATTCAGACGAGGGTTGAGGATATCGTTCTTTTTTTTGCACCAATTTTTCTACCAACTTGGCCACGTGTCACGTGTCCATCCCACCTGGTGGAGGCTTACCAGCCGTCGCTTAGACAGACACACGCTAATCCCCCCCCCCCTCCCAAGGGAAGTGCTACTGACTGAAGTTGTCTTTAGGCCATTCCCAAAGGGGGGATATTAACATGTTCTTAAGCAAAGCAGAATTGTAAATGGGCTGATATTTCAATGTCATGCTCATACTGTGCCGGAACAACATAGGGGGAACTGCTGCTTTTTCTTTCCTCATCCTTACTATCGTCATTTTTTCCTCTATTTCTTTTGTGTGTTTGTCACTCTCAAGTGAACTGGTACTTCCGGGGGGTGCCTTGATAGTCGAAGCAGACTTTGTGCTGTTGAGGCAAGAGAGTTGAACAGAGTAAGCCTGATTCCCTGTTTGGACTTCTCTGTTGATATCTACCCCTTGGGGATCATAATATGACCTCATGCAGTTGCGAGCGCCGTAAAACCTCCACTAAAACAAACCACGACACCCGCTGAGTCGGCTGTGATAACACTGAGCCCCAGCCACTCACGATCACCCACCACGCTAGTCCGACGTTAATTCACACACCACCTGCTCGCACTTTGCCATCAAAATGAATCTTATAAAAAAAAATGAAACAAAAAAATAAAACCTTGATAATGATAGAAAGATGAACAGGGTCAAGAGTGTGCAGTCTCGCGTCAATGTGTCCGCGAGAGGAAAGATTTGGGGTTGGTGGACGACACGAAAGGGCTTTGAGACAAAAATAGGTCGTCTTCAAAATTCGGACGTCAGCTTTTGTTATCCATTTCCCATAGCTACAAGGGAAAAAATGGGGTTGGGGGGTGGGTGGAGGGTGGGTGGAGGTTGATCTTTGATATTTACCGTAATAAAAGATTCCACCCCAAAACGAGAGGTACAATACGACATTACACATTAAAAAAAACAACTACAGTACTCCAAGTTAGCTCATTTCTTTTAAGAGCATACTGATCATGAATCTGATAATAATCAGTTTCTTCTTCGTTTTTTCTTCTCACGTTTTGGATATTACTCGTTTTGTCCCAAAGCCCTTCCTATTTAAGACACGCCAACACCCGAGTCATCAAGTATGGATCAACACTGAAGCACAAAAGTTACAAAATATCATCCAATACAAAGTTAGTTGCGCCATCGCAGCAACTTGGCATCAAAATATAATCTATTATTATATATAAGATTTATGAATAGTTCAAAAGCATAAAAATATATAGAGCAGAACGTGTCCGTCCACTGAAAATGACTCCCTCATTCGGAGAATCGGAGAAATAAAATGTCCGTCTTGAAAACGTTTCTGTCTCGAAACAGGATTGAATCAGGAGAGACACAGTTCCGATAAGTTCTCACAGTTCCGGTCACTATAAACAGCGGGGGGAAAATCCTTCTCATGTCCCATTGTTCTTCAGTATCTGGAGGTTTAAATGCTTAAAACGTCAACGCTGACGGTACAAAGGATATAATATTAATAATAATAATAATAATATACTATTCAGAAGGTCAGAGGGCAGCTCTTGCAAAAGAGCAACGATGCTTTTCCTCTTCGTCATCCTGTGAGCTGTGAACACCCGGTTCGTGGTAGGTACAGATCTGCAGAACCGGAGCCTCTCAGTTGGCCATCAGAAGATGTTGTAGGCCGTTAGCGTACCCCATTGGAGCCACGCTGGGGCCATCCACGAAAGATTTGTGTCCGTCAGGAGAGAGCGTGTTGGCCTGTGAGAGCGAGAGAGAGCTCGGCTTTGGCATGGAACTGGTGAGCCCGGGCAGACCCGTCGGTCTCCCGATGTGAGGGAGGGACGTGGGTCTGGAGATGACGCTGGTCGGCGGGGAGGGGAGCGAGTGGAGGGAGGGGCTGGACTGAATCAGGTCCTGGAAGGCTGGGCCGTTGCCTTGTGGGGACATATGGGGCGAGAGGTGAGGGGAGAGATGGGGGGAGGAGTGAGTGGAGGACAGACCTGAAGAATGCTGGCGAAGGAACTCTGGGTACATGCTTGTTGGAGAAAGCTGTTGCTGTTGCTGCTGATGCTGATGCTGTTGTTGTTGATGATGCTGTTGTTGTTGTTGTTGCTGATGATGGAGATGCTGCTGATGGTGGTTGTACTGCGGGGCGTATGGCATCGACGGAGACATCTGTTGTTGTTGTTGTTGCTGCTGCTGCTGCTGCTGCTGCTGTTGTTGTTGTTGGTGCTGTTGTTGTTGGTGTTGGTGCAGCATCATCCTCTGCTGCTGATCCATGAGGAACTCCACTCGTGGGTCTCGCGGGGAGAGAGATCTCGGTCTCTGAGGACCCGCGTAGTTCCTCTGTTGTTGGCGAAAGTAGTTCCCGAACTCTGTAGGCGACAGCCGGTTGGGTCGCTTCATCTGCGTCTTGAGCTTCGTGGACCCGAACTTTGTCTGGGCAAAAGTTGCGGCCGTGAACTGCTGGCGGTGAGCGCTGCTGTTGGCAGGTCTCTGACCGATGAATGCCGGCGCTCCCATGGCAGCTGGAGACGTCTGTAGAGCTGAGCTGAACAACGTGGAAGATGGAGAGGTGGTGGTGCTCCAGGTACCAGGCGGGGGGACGGGGGAGGAGGGGGAGAGGCTGAGGTTGGACAGAGACGAGGAGAGGGAGTCGATGGGCTGGAAGGACTGGGACGGGTCAGCGGAGCACAGCGCCGCGGCCACCACGTCCGGGGTGAAGGTCAGCAGGTCGGGGGTGAAGGTCGCTTGTCCTTCTGGCGTGAAGGTCTGCGCGTCGGGGTTGAAGGTTATGTTGGCGGCCTGCACCTCCTTGTCGATCGTGTCGCTCCCGTCCTCGTCTTTGCGGTCGGTGTACAGCACCTTCACCGGAGCCTTCTCGCCGATTTTGTAGCTGACCTCCGAGGGGTCAATCCACAGGGTCAGGTCGTCGGGGAGGTAGTTCTTCACCTCGGTGATGTCCAGCCCGGCCTTGACGGCTGCGTCAACCAGTACGGGGTCAACCTCGTCACCGTTGGCCTTGATGCACCGAAACCCGGAGCCTTTGTTGGGCTTGTCCGGGTACCAGTGACCTTCGAACTTCTTCTTGAGCTCCACCTCCAGCTCCTCCCCGAACAGATTGACGCGTCGCCTTGGCAACTTGTTGTACAAGTAAGATATGACGAAGTTGAGCGCCACAGAAATCTCCACGTGCATTGTTACTTCTTTGATGTATACCAACGAATATATATATTAGAAAACAAAGAAGTTGGCGGGTGGTACTAAGACGTATCAGCAAAGAATCTGATCAGAGTGATATATCCGAGGGTTTCTAATTTTTCTCTTAGAAAATCAAATGTCAGCAAAACCTTTAAAAAAAATAAATTTCGAAAAGAAGCTTGTCCTTCCTTACTTGGGCGGCCAACTCAACACGAGATGAAGAAGATTTAGAGAGAATGTCTCAGCTTGATTCTCGGCGGGATATCTTGCTAAACCTTCGGGGAGTGTTGGATCTTTGTCCTCTTTCTTTTCTTAGAAGAAAAAAAAACCTCTCTTGTTCTTACAGTTTTGTAGCAGCCGAGCCCTCTCACACACGTCACTTACCAGCAGGGAGGCATGGATATCGAGAACTACACAGAAGAAACTTGAGACTTTGTCCAGTTCTAAATCCTTCTCGATCGCGATCTCCCGGAAGAACTAGTCAGGTGAGGGTAGAGATAGAGATTAAGTCTTTGAAAAATAAAGGATCCTGGTCTGGTATTAGTTCCTTGTACTGTTGAAGTGGAAGGCAAGCTGATTCTTTATTTCATCTGGGGAAGACAGGAAGGAAAATTCTGATTAGGACGGATGACTTCAAAGACAGCATCTGTGTAGTATGTATTAGATTTTTGAAAATACAAGAAACACACACGCGCGCATGCACGCCTGCACGCACACACAAACATACGCATACACATGCACACGCACATGCACACACACGCACACACACTCACGCATCAACATTGCGTCCATGGAGGTGCAAAAAACCTTAATTAAAAAACAAAAACAAAAACACATACATATTCAAACTAACACTCATACATAATTATACACGCCTGCACATTATCTCTAAACACAGCCAACAAGCAAAAAAGGAGAGAGCTAAACAGGCAAAGACAAGTCTATATAACACACAGAGAGATAGATACACAGAGATAGATCGACAGACGGGAAAGTAGGTTTATTCGCCTTTCCTCTTTTCCTGACCGAGATATGTTCGACAAGTCACGACATCCTGAACCACAGTTTCTCTAGTTTTTTTTCTCTGTTTATTTTTCCGTCCATATTTTCTCTTTTTTTCCTGTTTGTTTTTTCTGTTTTTTCTCTTTTCCTCCATTTTTTAAAAAAGTTTTGTCTTTTCTCTTTTACTCCCGTTTTTTTCCTTTTTCTTTTTCCTCTTTTACTTCTGTTTTTCTGTTTTGTTTTTCCTCTTTTACTTCTGTTTTTCTGTTTTGTTTTTCCTCTTTTACTTCTGTTTTTGTTCTGGGTTTTTTTCACGGTTTTTCTGTACCAAATCCCAAGATCTCGTACACGGTCTGTTAAATCATCAGAGACAGAGACTTTTGCTAACATCTTCTCAGACGTCAGGGCACCAGCCTATCAGGCTACGTCATAACGTGAGAGACAGACAGGCACCGCTGCCAGACGATGAGGTCAAGGACAAAGTAAACGAATCGGGATTATGCAAAACAAAACTAAACAAAAACATTATCTTTAAAAAATCGGGATTATAAAAAAGTACAAAGAAAGACAGCATCGAACGAAAACAAAACAAAAAATAAATAAAACAAAACTTAATGAACCAACCCCCCCAAC